TTTTTTAAATTAAATTAAAGTTAGATGAAACAATTACTTAAGTGAAGAACAAATAACTTTGTAATAATTTATTATGCGATTTTATAATTTTTGTTTATTTGATAAGATTGAATAAACAATTGGGGCTATTTTAATAGTTTTACAACTTTTGGGATTTTTATGTTTATGAGAAAATATACAACACAAAAATTCCATATCGCATGTCCAAACAAACCTTCAATTTCATCTCATGATTCCATATCATGATTCCATATCATGATATCATATCGCATGGCCAAACGGACCGTAAATTGTGTGTAATTTAACACTATGATCAATATTAGTATTTAGTTTACCAAAAATACGTTTCTATTACTACCAAAAATACTGAAACAGTTGGTAAAATCCTTCTGTTCATTGATTTTATTTTTGGTAAGTATAAAAATACTCTAGAAGTTGAGGCAATTATTATAGTTTCATTTCAAATTGTTGTCAGTTTTTTTAAAAATATCTTTTTACTTGACTAACTAAAATTAGATACATGATGGATCCGGCTCCTCTGCATTTTTCTTCTCTCCATTTTTCTCAAGTTCCTACTTGGATTAGTGACACATGACATAGGTTAAAATAAATGGCTAAGATTTAATTTTCCAAAGTAAATCTCTAACCATGATTTAACTAATAAATACAATATATATTTAGTATTAAAAATTATCATAATCTCACAATATTAGCAACATATTATATTGTTAAGATTGTGGGGGTTATAGTAATTTTTAAAATTAAATATATAATATATTTATTAGTTAAATCATTGTTAGAGATTTACTTTGAGAAATTAAATTTTAGTCATTTATTTTAACCTATGTCATGTGTCATTAATCCGAATAGGAACTTGGGGCAAATGGAGGGAAGAGAAATGGAGAGAAGTCGGATCCATACATGATATACCCCTTCTACCACATAATATAGGAAGTGGTCCCAAACTCTTGGAACTTATTTTTTTATTTTATTGAGTTGAAATTCAAATTATGTTTACAAAATATAAATAAATATTAATATATTAGTATTCTTGAAATTAAGTTGGCCATGACCAAACTCGACTTTTTTAGCCTAGAGCTCTAGACCAAAGTATATTTGAGCGGATCATGACCGAAATTGAATTTTAAGTATATGGGGCATTTGCTAACTCATGGTTGTCATAGTATAACATTGATTGATGAAGAATTTGACTGTCATCTGTCAATAGCTCGGGGACGAAACTAATAATTCGTGTCAAGTTCATGGTGATTGATGCTATGGGAAATGACAGTCAAACAAACTCTAAGGTTAATTGTTACATCAAGAAATAACCTTAAGCAAAAAAAAAAATTAAAAAAAAATCAAGAAATAACTAATTAAGTGTATGAACTAGACTACTAGTTAAGGATTAACAATAACTACTATAGATATCATACAGGCTTCATGTCACCTTTGGTGAGCAGTATGAGATATACTAGTGAGAAGTGGCTGCTGTAAAGTAATCAAATTACTTCGTTTATAGCTGCTCAACTTGCTCTATTTCTTGATGTCAGCTGATGATTCTGTGCAGTACAATGCCACATTAATCTTGGCAGATTGAGTCAGTCGTTCGTTCCTTTAGAAGATTGATGTATGTGCCTCGTGATATGCTTTTAGGTTAACCCCAAGGAGTAGTTACTCCTTGGATGATCTTCCTAAGAACTCTGCTACCAGATTTGAAAATGCAGAAGAACTGTTCTTCAATAACTGGTTAGGAGTATCAAATTCGAGAATTTTTCCTGCGTCAAACAAGACGGAGTTTAGAAGAATATGATGTGTGTATTCTCAGATGTTCTATGTCTTCATCTTTTTGAGTTCTTAGCCTGTTGCAGGTTAATGGTTGCAAACTTGCACTTGCACTATATTCTGCCACTACTATTGTCATGCAGTTGTATACACTAGCTTTTATATTAATCATTCAAACTGTACTATATTCTTACTTTCCTATTAACATGTATGCTTAATTTACTTGGTTATGCTGTTTTGTGTGTGCTTGTGGTGCTAGGTCCTGTATCTTTACCTTCACCAAGAACTAGAACAAGATCATTATCGATCACTGTGGGTATCCGATGTGCCACTGTTATAACTGTGCATCCATTTGTTTCTTCTCTTATAGTTTTCTGAATGACATTGTCTGTCTCTGTATCCACTGAAGCAGTAGCTTCATCAAGTACCAATATTCTCCTTTTTTGTAGCAACACCCTAGCTAGGCACACAATCTGCCTTTGACCCATGCTTAAGTTCTCTCCCTCTTCTGCAACTGCAGCATAAAATTCTTTATCATTTGTTTCCCTTTCCAATTGTTTATGTATTTTGAAGTTCTTTTATAGTATTTTTACCTGGTGCATCAAGAAGCCTTGTATCCTGCTTTACTATATCAGCTAAGTGACATTTGTGCAAGACCTGAAATATGAAATCATTCTTATAGTAAGTTACAAAGTCTACTCTATTGACCAAAACCAAGAAAAAGAAGTCCAGAACATTACCTCCCAGATATCCTGATCTGTATGTTGTTGTAATGGATCAAGATTAGTCCTAATTGTTCCTTGGAACAAAGTTGGATCTTGTGGTATTATACTCAACTTAGACCTCAGGTCTTGCAAACCGATCTTTGAAATGTCTATTCCATCGATAAGAATGCATCCTTCAGATGATTCCACAACCCTGAAGAGAGCTTGGATCAAAGTAGACTTTCCACTACCTGTTCTTCCAACTACACCGATTTTCTTTCCCTCTGGAAAGGTACAGGTTATACCTTTTAGAACTCTTGGGAGATCAGGGCTGTATTGTACATGAAGATCTTTAATTTCAATTCTTCCTTTTAGAGGCCAATTGGGTTTTGGCCTGGACTTTTCAATTATCAGTGGAGCTTCACTAGGAACGTCGCTAAACTGAAGTATTCTCTCAACTGAGATCATTTTGTTCTCAACATTGCACAGGTTCCATATAACCCAAGCTTGGAGAACATTAAGATTTAAGCCATAGGTAGCTGCTAGTCCTGCTAAACCTGCAAACAGATGAAAATGTGATATCACACACTGAAGCCATTTACCACAGTGAAAGAAAGAAAAAGTTGTTATCATAGACTGACTTCCTCAGTTTGTGTAAGTTCTTAATCTAAGATTTGTTTCTTATGTCTACTCATGCATCACCAAAGAAGCTGCCTGGAATTTTATTGATTAACTGCCTGGGAATGTGTTACACAGGATGCATGAAATGGAAATGGATAAGAATAAAAGCTTACTGGGGTCTATAGCCTCTCGAGGAAGGTGTGCCAGGATGACGAGAAGAAAGAAGAATATGAGATTGAAGAGAAAGTTAATTCGAACACAGAGCCATTCCATTGTAGCAGAGTTGTGAAAGACAACACGTGAATAGTTATCGATGAGACTTAAATTTTTATTCAAGAATCGGTCTTCCTGATTAAAACAACGAATTGTTGCTACACCGGTGAGAGATTCTGAGAAATGATGCAGGATTGGAGCTTTCTGAATGCCAACCATCCTTGCTAGTTCTCTAGCAGTGGTAATGTAATATGCCTGCAATAAGAATTGAATCATTAACACTAAGGCCATATTTAAGAGAAGTAAATACTCATTGGTTGCATTTCCCATTTAGAAGTGATATAAAAGAAACTTCAGGTTAAGTTTCTTATTACCTGATACCACACAGAGATGGCAAGTATCAGAAGGAAGAGAAACATGATCTGCCAGGCAACATTGGACATGAGGACAACAATGCTCGATAATTGAATAAGTGCAAATGCTAGTCCAGCCAATCTATATGGAATATCTGTGTCCACGGTGCTTTGGTCCGTAGAAGACTGACAAGCAAGAAAAAAAATTGAAGTTCAGAATAGAGGCAGCCAGAAAGTCATGTATGAAGAAACAAAGAACTGACTATAGACACATTTCAAGACAAATAATTCATTTCAGTTGCTAAACTCACCCTATTGAGAATTCTACTGGAAGGGGTGGAGTCAAAGAATGACAAGGGAGCTCGGAAGAGTGATTTCATCATTCCAATGTAGAGCTTCTGAGAAGTCTCAATTGCGATAGTTGATAGCATAACTGCTCTTCCTAAGATGAAAAAAGAGCTTCCCCCTGACAGCAGCACGAATATTCCAATTAATCTCTTGCTAGTAACCCTTCCTTCTTCTTCTGTTCCCCATGCAATCCAGTAGTTGCTTGCCATCTGCAGTCCCTGGAAGAGAACTTGACATAGAAGGACTGGAAGTACAAGGGCCCCTTTATACGCCGAGGTTACAAAGGTTGAGTAGACTTTCCATTTAACTCGACCTGATACTGCATCTTCCTGCTGAGTTCTTTCTAAGATCTTGTTTTCATTGGTAAGATCTTCAATTTGGTTTTTCTGGTTTTTACCCTTAGTTAAGCAGCTGCCTTTTTGGGAAGGTTTCACTTGATCTAATGATTTATTGTGAGCCACCATATGCCGTAGGAGCTCACCATCAGGATCTGCAATCAACTCATTATACTTTCCTGATTGAACAAGTCTTCCATCTTTCATTACCTAAGCATATCAGGTAAGAAGAAAAACTAAGATATACTTTTCTAGTTTGTTTCAATCAACTGAAAATGGTTTCAACTTACAAGGATGAGGTCAGAAGCATCTAAAAATTCCAACTGGTGAGTGGCATAAACAACTGTTTTTTCATGTAGATGTTGGATTACGCATTTCTGCAATATGATGAAGGGTTGTTGCACATCAATAATACCAACTAGATTACTGAAAAAGAATTCTACTAAAGTAGGATGTAGTACTTGCCTTGAACATATGAGCTCCAGTTTGTGCATCAACAGCACTGAAAGGGTCATCTAGCAGGTAGATGTCTGAATCACTATAAATAGCTCTGGCCAACTGAATTCTTTGCTTTTGTCCACCACTTAGGTTCATTCCTCTTTCTCCTACCAAATTTAGATCTCCGTCAGCCCACATCTCAATGTCACGTTTCAAAGCACATTGGTCCACGACGTCATCATAATGTGCCTTGTGTATTTCCTTGCCAAACAGAACATTGTCTCTAACAGTGCCTGTTTGGATCCAAGCACTCTGTGGTACAAATGCCTTTGAACCATTAAGATTAATACTTGATCCGGAAATTCTAGGAATCTCTCCCATAATACTACAGATTAAGCTTGACTTTCCCGATCCCACTGAACCACATATTGCTACTTTCCACCCTTTCATTATCCTGATTTTCTCAGTTATCTTAATTGTTGATTTCTTGGACTCATTTGTGTCCCAAGCATACTCTCCTGGCTCAAGTTCGATCGCCACTTCAGAAGTGTCAGGAGTATGATAGCTTGTTAACTTCATTTGATCTTCCTCTCTCATGAAGTCTTGAATCCTATCAACTGAAACTTTTGTCTGAGCAACCATGGAAATGAGCTCGGGCAAGTTGTAAATTGGTTCTTGTAGAACCCTGAAAGTTGCTAGTGCTGAGAGAACTGCTCCTGATGTTAATGGTGTTTTTAGGATGATACAAACACCAAAGGTTACAACTGAGACGAGCGTTGGTGAGGCCCAAAAGAGGAAAGCCACAGCAGAACATGCATAAAGGTATCTCTTAAGCCAACCTCTCTCATTTTCTCTTAGTTGAAGCAGCTTCTTCAAGAAAGTAGACTCCCATGAGTGCAGTTTCAAGACTCTCATGCTTTTCAAGGTTTCTGAAGTGGCTTCAATTCTCACATCCTTCGCTTCCATTATCTTTGAGTGGAGCTTTTCTTGCATTTTGGCAAGCGGTGTGTTGCTCACCATCACGAATATGGTCGAAAAAAGAGCAGCAACAGAGGGAGCAGCACCCAAATTCCTGTACAAGATTAGCAGAGCAAATGTAACCTGAACAGGAAGCAACCAAGCTCCATGAATATGCCAGCAGAAGTCTCCAATTCTCTCAACATCAACATTGATGAAGTTTATGATCTTCCCGTCTTTTGTTCCACCATACTTTATGGACAAAGTTCTTTTATATATCAAAGCCATCAGAGCGGCTCTGACTCGAACACCAATCCGGTTAGCTCCAAAGTACCATTGCCTTTGGGACAGTGACACTATTGTTTTGGCAAAGAAGAAGATGAAGGCTAAGATCATTCCTTCTTGCCAATTGGACTCATCTTTCTTTCCAGACAAAAAATTCACAAAGCTTGCTATCAGCAAAGGACCTATATAGGAAGCAATTGTGTTGACTCCTACATAAGCAAACAGAAGCATGAAATTAGTTTGCTAAGCATAGTCAAGGTTCGTACAATCTGAACCATAATCAAGAATTACCTGCAAAAACTGCATTACAGGCAAGTGGTCTCCAAATCATATGTAATATGGCATGAGGGATGAAGAAAGTAGAAGTATTCTTTTCGCGAAGCGCATCTTCCAACAAAGAATCAGCTTCATTAGAAGTCTTAGTGTGAGGAATTGAAGGTATGTGCTCTACTCTGAGCTTTTCCTCATGACCCTTCTTGAATAGTGGATTAAGCCACCTAAATGTGATTAGGCTCCAAATACTAGCACTAGAAAATGCATCATCATGTGTATTTACCTCATCTTTTTGAAGGAATGGCTGTTCAGTTTCACTGTATTTGTTGGCTGGTACTGGCATGGCATTGAAACATAGAAGAATTGACAATGGTAGGGAAGCAAAATCAATTATATTTGCTTTGGGAAGAAAATGTGGGTACTAGAAAAGAACCACCACATGATGAGTAATAATGGACACCTTTTTTCTCTGTTTAATGAATAGGCTGCAATTACAGTAGCTACACTCCATGTCATAACAGAAAAAACAGATTCTTCAAACACAAAAGCTCTCAACTTCCAGAATTCATAGACATAAAATCCCAAATAAAAAAGGGTTATTGAGAAATTAACTAAAACTGTAATCTTGGTGAAAATAGTGGATTTTCTTCTCTCACCATTTTTCTTGAAAAAAAAATCTATGAGTAAAATAAAGAAAAATGCTACATTGGTTACCCTCAGAGTAATGTCCATTCTTAAGCTTAGTTTGAAACTAAAAAAATTCAAGAAAATTCCACTTTTCAACAATAAATATAATGTACAATTGGAAAAGTAGAAATATAATATAAAGAAGAAAGCACGTGCCCCTCTGAATAGTGATGTTATTATGGATACAATTCTATTTTAAGTAATAGTTACTATTATAGTAACAAGTGCCTTTCCTTGTGAAGTTATTGTTATAATTGATACATTTAAATATGTCCACTTTTATTTGTCACTTATTCTTAAAATAGTTTTTCATTTATAATTGATACATTTAAATACGTCCACTTTTATTTGTCACTTATTCTTAAAATAGTTTTTCATTTCAACTTGTCACTTTTGACCTATCAAAAAAAAGACAGTTATTTTTTTCATATTTTACTCTCAGCATTAAATATTTATTTTTCAAATCATCTTTCAAGATCTAAACAATGCAAGGGGCCCAATAAGTCACAAATGGGCTTTCTAGTAATGGGCTTAGGATTTTTGTCTTTTGAGTCTGGTGGAATTGGGCCCTATAGCATCAAAAAAATGGCACAACATGACAACTAAGGGTGTACAAAACCGAATCACAAACCGAACCAAACCGCAAATTGAGTCAAATTGAAAAGAAAACCCAACTAGTGGTTTGGTATTGGAAAAAAAAACCCTACTATATTTGGGTTGGTTTGGTTTTAACTAAAAAAAAACAGCCCGAGACCAAACCAATCCGACATTATATATGTAATTTTAAAATTTTATTTTATACATAAAAATATTTATTTTGATATAATTTTAAAATATTTCTTATACTATTTCATAGTTTTTATCTTTTAATATATTATTTCAAGTTTAAAACTTAGAATTCAGAATGGTTCAATAAAGATTATAGTTCATAGATGTTGATAATTATAATAAAACTTAAATCAAAATCAAATTAATACTAATGCAAAAAGAAAATCAATTCAACACTAAGAATGACAATAATATTGAATATTTGTTCTTTAGTTTTACATTGGTTTAGACAATTAAAATACATAATCTAATTTTAATTTTCCTTAAATATTTAGTAATGTAACTAATACTTATTAAACTTATTTTAGCATGATTTAGTACTTTTAAATTATGATCATTTTCATTATGACTTGTTAATTTGCAATATTTGTTTTACGCGATTTCATTATTATTATTTAAATTTAAAAATTCGACACAATGGTTTGGTTTGGTATTTGAAAAATCCGAACCAACCCGAGGTTTAGTTTGGTTTGGTTTATAAATTAATTTTTTTTACAAAAATGATTTGGTTTGATATTTGAAAAACCCGAACCAACCAAATCATGTACACCCCTAATGACAACCTATAGTCTAAGAGCATGTTTGGATTGACTTTTTTTAAAAATAGCTTTTAAGTAAAAATAAAAAGTCAAACATAAATGACTTTTAAGTTAAAAAATAAAAAGTAAGCGGAAACCTACTTTTGATTTTTTAAAACTTATTTTAAGTTATTTTTAAATTTGTAAAACACTTCCAAACTTATTTTAATTCATTTTTGGCCTATTTTAAATTATTTTTTGACTTATTTTAAGTTATTTTTATATTTGTCAAACACTTTCATAAGTCAAAAACTGACTTAAAACCAAACACCCTCTAAATTGGCAATAAATTAGTTCATTTTTTAATATTTTTTTTAGCAAAAAAAACTTTGTTTTATTTATTTGACATTCAATAATTATTTTTCTTTTTAAAAAAAAATATATCTTTGTTCCCCTTATTTTTCTCTAAACACGTTTGATTGCTCTCTCTTTTTTCTTGAAAAGGAAAAAATTATTTTTTTATTATTCTTTTTTTTATCTCTCCTTTTTATTTGTCAACCGTTTTAAAATAGAGTTCTTCTTTTTTTGTCTCCTTTTTCTCTTTCTAGAATTCTTTTCATACGTATATTTGTTTCTCTTCCAAATTTTTTATTCTTCTCCTTAATTCACTATGTTTATGTGAATCAAATATAGCAATCTGTTTATCCATGGATACTTCTAAAAATCATCTTTTATATATAATCTTGTTCTTGTCCAATTAATGGTTGAATTTCATGATTTGTGGAATTGAAGTTTTTTCAATTTTATTTTTGCGAAAATTTAGGTTATTTATCCTTTTTTTTTCGTTTTCTTTCTAAAATTCTTTTCATATGTATATTTGCTTATCTTTCAAATTTTCTCATATTCTCCTTAATTCACTCTGTTTATGCAAATCAAATATAACTGTATGTTTATCTATCGGTCCTCCTAAAAATTTCTTTTAATATATAATTATGTAGCAGTTCTTGCCCAATTAATTTTGAAATTTGTGATTTGTGGAATTAATGTTTTTTTAAACTTTTTTTTGACAAAAATTTAGGTTATCGTATTTGGAATTTTTATTTTCAATTTCATGGGTAAGAGAGGTTCTCATAAGATCCTCATGAAAAAATGGAATTTTGATTTTGATGAATACAAACCAATGTATATCAATGAATGACAATTTCAATCTCAATAGATGTATACAAATTTATTAGGTGAATACAGACCAATGAATACACAGATGAATACAAATCAATGTATGCATAGTGCAGTTACTGTATACATAAACAAAATCACATGTACCATTTATGAATAAAATTTTATTTATACATGTATCATATTAATCGCATTCTTGTAATCATTATAATTATACCTTTAATTGTTGGTAATAATCTTATGTATACATTATAAAGTTTATGTATACATGCTACAATTACTGTATACATCAACAAAATTTACACGCCTATTTTTATGAATAATTTTTTGTGTATACATATTATATTTTTTTTATGTATACATTATGTAATTGAAACTTTAATTATTGTATAATTTATGCATACATATTATTATAGTTTCTAATAAAAATCAATGCCTCTTTTATTATTTGATTAATTATTGTCAATTATTTGATAATTAATACACATTAATTGAGCATTAATAATATATTTTCTTACCTAAAAAGTAGTCACAATCTTTTAATAAGTTAATTAAAGAATTAAAAAAATTCCTTCCTTAAAAGTTGATGTAACCTTTTTTTAATGGGTTAATTAGTCATTTCTTAAAGTAGGCAACCATTTTTTTAATAAACTAATTATTGTCCGTTGGTAAAAAAATAATTCACAAAATTACAACCAAATATATCTTTATGTTATTGTAAATTGCGTTAATATTTTTTAAAATAGACTGATAATAAAGTTGAGTTTGAGAATTTAAAGAAACTGAAAAGTTGATTTCTTTAATTATGGGAGTTAAAAACAAGGAAGAAAATATAATCTCACATCTAATTAATTAATGTCGGTTGATTGCACATGATTAAAAAATTTTATAAAAAGTTTGTTATATTTCTTTTAGGCTAATACGTGCTTCTTCTTTTTTTAGACTATTAATTGCTAATTAATATTGAAGATATGTTGTCAATTGTATATAGTAATTGTATGTCTGTGTCAATTTGTCGCATCCCATTTTATTCCAACAACTAATGAAGGAAGAAAAGGAATAACTAGCTTCTTTAATTGGTATTACACTTCATTTACAATGATTTTGATCATTGCAGCTACTCTTGTGGTATATATTAAAGATTCTGTGAATTGGGTAATTGGATTTGGAATCCCTATACCGTGCTCATTTTGTTGTCTCTCATTTTATTTTTCATTGGGACAAAAGTGTATGTTTATGTGAAGTCTGAAGGAAGTATTTAATTTCACTAGCATTGTTAAGATCTTTGTCACGACTCATAAAAAACGTACACTTAAACTTCCAGATGAATGTGAAAGTAGCAAAATCTTTTGGTGAACATTGTGCGTACAACTACAGGGGGCATGGACATCCAAATTGGTTAACAAAGGATATTAATGAGGGTCGAGTAGAAAATTATTACTATCTTATTGTAGGATTAGGTGTGTTGAATTTATTCTACTTTTTATCGTTGCTCGTCGATATCAATATAAGACTAGATTAGTAGTTGATGATGGGATTAAGGTTTATTATGGTGTTCATGACATCAAGTATTAAGTAACTTGTGCTTAATTAGTTGCATATTAATTATAGGATATGCTTAAGTTGACTTCTTAGAGTTAAAAGAAGTTAACAATTTTAAGTAAGAGTCATGTTATGTTTTATCAATTTCTTTTCATTTGTATGATACACTTGAAAATTCTAATTCAATCAAATTTTTGTAGAAAATTCTCTGTATGAACTTGAAAAAAACCGTTTAATAACTATTTAATTCATTTTTTTCGACAGTTATCTACCTAAGAGATTAAAGTTTCTTCGAAAAAGGGCCAAAATTACCCTCGAACTATTCGAAATAGCTCATATATACTCTTTTTTATTTTTGGGATCAAAACTACCCTTTTTGTTTATGTTTTGGACCACAAATACCCTTAAAACGTTATCTTTGCCATTAGAGCTGACATGACAGTCCACCTAGGCAATCCAACATGGAAAAAAACCTTTTTTCTCAATAATATTGTTCTTTCTTGTTCATATCTATCTAAAAAAAATAGTTCTTTCTTCGTTCTTGTTTGAGTTATTGTCTGCACTTTGAAATTTCAATTTCAAAATGCGCTGAAGTTCATTTGAGATAGTAGTTGTGTGTTGAATGATATAGTTCATTGTTTAGAATTTGAGGCTAAAAAG